ATTGCAGTCCTGAAGCTGTTTCCAGGAAGGATATGGAAGAACCCTCACTGACTGGCTGAGACCCTTTTTCTCAAAGCTCCTTTCTTGGCATGCTTGGGTTCCTTCTGATGCTTTCAAACTCTGTGCCCTCTTATCCCTGCCAATGCCCGTATTTCCTACGGGAATTGCCTCTTCAGTAGATACTTGTAGCTCAGACCCTGTCCTTTTTGCACAAGTCAGCTCTGGCAAAAGAAAGTCACACACCTCTCTCTGCACTGCAGTAACTGTCATGGGCCTTCTCTCCCACGTCCTTTCTCTCTCTGTTACTCTAAAACTCATAATTTGAGCAAAGGAGGGCAGCTTCCCTGGTGTTGTGCTGTCTTGCTATACACCCTGCATAAGAATAAATGCTACATTCTTCTTATGACCGCTAGGAGAATAGTATTTAATAGCTTTCTCACGCTGGGGTGTGTGTATGTGTGTTTCTGTTTTGCTTGTGTGTTTTTAAATCCTTTTCTTCAGCTAATGTGAATTCTTTCCTAGTAAAACATTCTGTTAGTTCAGAAACTTGGGCGTAATGTGATGATATGTATGTGTGTGTGCGGGTATAGATGGATATCTACGTACTTTACCTATTAGCTTGTGTAAAAATGCTGCAAATAGTTAAATTCATTACAAATTTGTGTAATTGCCATATATATATGTATTTTATATATGAGACTATATCATATATATGATCATATGATCTGTGTGATCTATATATCATATATATAGATTTTTGTATATGTGTGTGTGTTTTTAAAAAGGTCTGTTATGAGGCTAGAGAATTTTATTGAAGCAAAATGCTTATATTGACTTTCATCAACGATTGTAGAGTAGTCTTATGCCTGCTACTGTAAAGCATAAGGAAAGTTGTTATACAATTCTTCTCGGATGATTTGAACAATTATGCCTTATATCTGACTTTTATGAACAATGTCTTTTTTTTTCTTTCTTGCAGTCGTTTGCTGACAGAGTATCAACAGAAATGCAATGATATCCTTTTTTATATATGAAATTTTGATATACTAATTCTACAAGAGGTCTTGAGCTTTAGGCTTAAGAGAAGATATTTCTCTGTAGTAATGAATAGAGTTTACAAAGGTTTCATAGAAAACAGGGCTTTGGAATTAAGTTTAATGCACTTAAGAGCTGACTGCCTAACATGAATTAATATGGACTATTTTAAAGCTGTGTTGTTGAGAATGATTCACATTTTGTTTTGTATTGGAAGAAGCTCTAGTGTTATTTTAGTTATTTTAGTGCCTCTGCTTATTCATTTCAAACATATTGAAATGTTTCTCTAAAATATGTTGTCTGTTGGAGGGAGTTGATGATTTTGTATTTCTTTGCAAGCAAGGATTGGATTTAAATATACCTAAGGAAAATACAGTAAATATACAGTAAGTTTCTACCTTAATAAGAGATTACAGCTTCAGTTTGCTGAAAGGTAAGGAAGAATACAATTAAAACTAAGCTGTTTACCTAAATGTACTATATTCTCTGTGTCTTAGGCAGTTTTAAGAGCCTGTCACTGTAATAGCAGCTGCTCTGGGTCTGTGGTAAACTTTTGCTCTGATACTTTTCATCAACCATTCTAGGCCATAATTTGCAAAGTTATTCTTTGTTGAGGAGAGAGATGTGGCAGGGCACAGAGACAGACTGTGCAACCTTTTTGGGCACAGCTGGGCTAATATCTTTTCCTGGACTTTGTTGCTTAAGGATATAAGGTGACCAAGTGGAGCTGAAGAGCTCATCTTTTGGTGCCCTTCACATGTAGAAGTATTTGGGGCAGCCCTGTTTTTCTGATGCATTTTGACTCGAGAGTTTTTTGATAGGACTCCTTACACTCTACCTGATTATACAGGGAGAGGCAGCATAGCATCATTACAGACTGTATTCTGCTTGCAGTTAGACTCTTGTTTCACAGCACTGCTCATGTGGATGCATTCCTGGCATCTCGATGTTGGATGTTGGGAGGCAGTACTGTGTGACATGTGCAGCCTGCCTGCACCTGACTTGGTGCTCTGTTTAATGTTTAGGCCTTAGTAAGCCCTGTAAACACTGAGTTTAGGCTTTAAAACACCCATGGTGCTGTGTTGTTTTGTTTTTAATCTCGCTTTCCATTTCAGAGAAATCTCTGCTCTTCGTTGCCAAGTAGAGCAGATGCTGCAAAAAATCCTGCCTCTGGAAAAATGTCAGGAAGAGTTGGGCTCTTTGAAAGCAGAGCTGGAAGAGAAAAAGGTGTGTTCCTAAGTTTTAACTAACTTTCACTTTTTCTGTTGAAGGAACTGTGTGTGTTTAATTCTCATCTTAATGGTCCTGGTTGTTATTTCCAGCTCTTTAGAACAGGCAGCTCTTGTTTTGAGTCATCGTAATTAAAGGGAAGTGAAACCTATATAGGGGAAAAGTTCAGCCCTTTGTAGTTTCTGTGAGTTGTGATCAGATTTTATTTTTTTATATTTCTGTGATTTATGCAGTAAGGAAAATAGTATTTTCAAATGCCTTTAGGTTTCCATTCCAACCTTATTAGGTTAAATAAGATCTGTCCAGAGTAGTGTTTTGCTTCTGAAAAATGCCCCCAAATACAGGTATTTAGTTTGTTTTGCTTCTGAAAAGTTTTTGACACTTAAAATGCCCCCAAATACAGGTATTTAGTAGATACTGGCTATTACTTATGGCAAAAGAATAAAAATGAACAAACCTCTCAGTCCTGTCTTTCTTTCTTTCCTTCTTTCCTTCTTTCCTTCTTTCCTTCTTTCCTTCTTTCCTTCTTTCCTTCTTTCCTTCTTTCCTTCTTTCCTTCTTTCCTTCTTTCCTTCTTTCCTTCTTTCCTTCTTTCCTTCTTTCCTTCTTTCCTTCTTTCCTTCTTTCCTTCTTTCCTTCTTTCCTTCTTTCCTTCTTTCCTTCTTTCCTTCTTTCCTTCTTTCCTTCTTTCCTTCTTTCCTTCTTTCCTTCTTTCCTTCTTTCCTTCTTTCCTTCTTTCCTTCTTTCCTTCTTTCCTTCTTTCCTTCTTTCCTTCTTTCCTTCTTTCCTTCTTTCCTTCTTTCCTTCTTTCCTTCTTTCCTTCTTTCCTTCTTTCCTTCTTTCCTTCTTTCCTTCTTTCCTTCTTTCCTTCTTTCCTTCTTTCCTTCTTTCCTTCTTTCCTTCTTTCCTTCTTTCCTTCTTTCCTTCTTTCCTTCTTTCCTTCTTTCCTTCTTTCCTTCTTTCCTTCTTTCCTTCTTTCCTTCTTTCCTTCTTTCCTTCTTTCCTTCTTTCCTTCTTTCCTTCTTTCCTTCTTTCCTTCTTTCCTTCTTTCCTTCTTTCCTTCTTTCCTTCTTTCCTTCTTTCCTTCTTTCCTTCTTTCCTTCTTTCCTTCTTTCCTTCTTTCCTTCTTTCCTTCTTTCCTTCTTTCCTTCTTTCCTTCTTTCCTTCTTTCCTTCTTTCCTTCTTTCCTTCTTTCCTTCTTTCCTTCTTTCCTTCTTTCCTTCTTTCCTTCTTTCCTTCTTTCCTTCTTTCCTTCTTTCCTTCTTTCCTTCTTTCCTTCTTTCCTTCTTTCCTTCTTTCCTTCTTTCCTTCTTTCCTTCTTTCCTTCTTTCCTTCTTGAGATTTGAATCTGCTCAGGTTTTGAAGGCTTTTCTTTTTTTTTTTTTTTTGTATGACATAACTTTCTAATAACAATGATGTATTAATATCATATTTTTGAACAGGAGAAAGAAACTGGAAGCAAAAGTAAAGAAACTAGAAGGTAATTTTCTATCCTGTGTTGACGGTGTTGTCCATCTTGGTTCTTTTGTTATCTACAGAGATAATTGTGAGAGGTAGAAAGTTGTCTAGGTTTTACTTGAGAACCCTGAGGCAAGCCACTACCATGTACTGTGCAAAATGTCTGAATTGTTTCAGCCCTTCTACAAAATCATGTCAGTCGAGTGTGTTAGACTTATTGTGTGAATCGGGTTGGAAGGGACCTCACCAGGTCGTCTAGTCTGATCATCCCCTACAAGCAGGGCCAGCTCTGAGACCAGGCCACGTCACTCGGCGCTCTGTGCAATTGGGGCTTGGTTCTCTGTTTTGGTTTCAAATTCATCCATCTAATGCAGGTGGCTGTGGTGTTTTTTTATTATTATTATCTTATTTTATTTTTATTATCTGGAGAGCTACATAAAACAATATGAGCTTTGATTCAAAGCCCCTCTGGGGCACGTGGAAAACAATCCACTTCCCTCTTACTTCTTAGCCCCTTTCAGTCTTGTTCTACTGTACTATATGCAACAGTATATGCTACTGAACTATATATGCTACAGTGTGACTCGCTCTTCTTTCTGATGTATAAGAAAGAAAAGTAGTAGATGTACTATAGTCACTTAGAACACTAGCTACGCAATGCAAGAGAACATACATGGATGATTTATGCATAAAGCATGAAGTCTAATTGAGCTAAAAATATAACTTGAACAGATTGGTTTTTCACACTCCTTACTCTTTTTTTTTTCTGGTAATTTGATTTGCAAACTGATGACCCTTATTATTTAAATTAGTAGTCCCCTCTGTTTAGTTTCTAACTTGAACTTTGGTTCTCTTTCTTGAAGAGGCTGCAACAAAGCATACCCAAGACTTCAGACAGCTGAAAACTGAAAAGAAGGGGCTTGAGAAGGAGCTAAAGAAGGCACAAGTAAGACTGCTCTGTTTGTGGATGAAGTTTCTCTCAGTATCTCTGGGGAAAAAAAAAGGAGATTATGCAAATAAAACAGATACTGAAATAGTGAAGTTATGTTTTTGAGGATGTTGAGTGAACAAATCTAAAATTTGGAAGATATTTGATTGGCTAACAATGAGGCATGCCATTTGAAATGTAGATTTAAATCTCAGGCAGTTTAAGTAAGCACAGATGTTTTACAAATCTCTTTTCATGAAAGCTTAACACTATTTAATTTTAACAGGGAAAACTTGATGGTGCTGTTAAGGAGAAGTGCAAAAAGCGTAAGTGTTTCACTTTGGTTATCTTCAGGTTGCACTGTAGTGTCCAGTTCGATCACCTTTTCTTTTTCTCCTCCCCTCCTCTCTTTTCAGTTGTTAAACATGCAGAGACCCAGAGTTCTGGTGAAGATATTACAACAGATATAGACAAAGGTATGATTTCTAGAAAACCTTCCTCTCTGTGATATAAACCATTATGAATTTGTCAGTTGCCTGGAAATTAGTTTATTATATGTTGCTTGAAACTGTTTTTGGAGTGCTGAGAGTTGCGTATGTGGAACTGGAGGATGATGACAGAATTTCTCTAAGAGCAGATGTAGCTGATGCAAATTTGTTGTCCTGGTTAAGGAACATAGTCACTAATGTATTAAAGGACTCTTCTCAGTTTTCTCAGTGCTCTCAGTAAGGAGGATGCCTGAGTCATTAAGATGCCTGTGGTCTGCCTCAGGCATGTGAAAGGCAAATTGATTTGCAGTTATAAAACGGAATGTAACCACTGAGGAAAGTATAAACCGTGCCATTGTCTTCAGCTTTGACGCTCCCTGAGATCATAAGGAAACGTGGAAAGCAAAGGACACAAGATAGACTTTGCAACAGTTAATATTCTTCTGTGAGGCTTTTTGTCTGAGTAGGG